GGGCCGTCACATTAGCTCCAAGGTGGCGGTTGTCAGGGAATTTTCCAGTCTGCAGTTCTCAGATTATGATCTGTAATCTATTCTGGGTTAGTTGGGAGGTGGGGCGTGAGGAAGCTGACTTTCAGTTTGTCTTGGAGAGATGTCCAGCGGCACCAGGCCGCCTTTGCCGAGCATGGGGATGCAGTGTCTCTTTACCCACTGACTTTTTTTCTTTTATGTGCATTGGTAATTTGCCTGCAGGTTTGTCTGTGTGAGAATGTCAGATCCCCTGGCACTGGAGTTACAGACAGTGTGAGCTGCCATGTGGGTGCTGGGAACTGAACCCAGGTCCTCTGGAAGAGCAGCTAGTGCTCTTAACCACTGAGCCGTATCTCCAGCCCCACTCACTGACTTTTTTATTTTTCTCAGCAGTCATATGTTTTCAGTGTGGCTGTCCTAACTGTGACGGATTAGAGCAAATCCCAAATGCTCTCTGGACTTCTGTATGGATGTGTGTACAGGTGTTGGATGTGTGTGTTGCATGAGGAGGTTGCCATCTGGTGTCTTCCTTGATCACTCTCCTTACTGAGTCAGGCTCCCTCACCAAGCCAGAACCCGATTCTGCTTGGCTAGGTGGCCAGCTTGTTCCGGGGACCCCTTCTCCACTTCCCAAGCGCTGGGATGGTGTGGGCTTTTATTTGGGTTCTGAGGGTCCAAACTCCGGTCCCTGTGCTTCCACGTTAGATTTTATCCACTGAGCTGCTTCCCCTGGCCAGGGCTTTACTTCTAGTGTAATGTTGTTTCATTTTCCAGTTGTGCCTTGATGGTTCAAGGATGCAGTCCATTTTCCTCTATTAACTTTCTAGCCTATAAACTCGCTCAGTTCACTTCAGTGGTGCTGAGGGTTGTTTTATAATCCCCCAGAGATGCTGCATATAAACAGTCACATCCTCTGCGAGCTCAGACCATGCACTCTGCCTCCCCCGGCCGTCGTGTCCCTTCCTCTTCCTGTCTGGTGCAGTGGTGAGGGTGGACGCCAGAGGATGCAGGCCGCCGGTGGAAGCCAGCACCGTTAGCTAGCCCCTGGCTAGCCCCTGGTTTGTTGGTCTGGCCGAGGGGGTGAGAGGCGCAGACACAGACAGAGGATGCAGATTATTCAGGAAGAGAGAGCACGTTATATAGCTTTGGGTGACCAATCAGGTTCCTCCACACCATCTCTGAGCCTGCCATTGGTTGTTGGTCTCTGGGCAGGCTCCCCAGTACCCAACTACTTCCATAGTCATGTCAGCGGAAGCTGCCCCAGGCCGTGAGCCCTAATGGCCCTTTGCTGGAGATGCCCGTACTAGTTAAGTTTATTTTTTCGCTTCTTGGATTTTTAAATTTTATGTAATGAGTGTTGTGCCCACACATGTATGTGCATGTCTGGTGCCCTCGGAGGCCTGAAGAGGATGTTGGATCTCTCAGAACTGGAGTTACAGATGGCTGTGAGCCATGTAGGTGCTGGGACCCAGACTCTGGTCCCCTGCGGGAGCAACAAGTGTTCTTAACCACCGAGACGTCTCTCCAGCCCTAAGCTCCTGTTTTTGAGGGAAACAGTTCCATACTTCTGCACTAAGTCTGGTGAACTTTCAGCATCTTTCCTCTTCTGAGGACGTTCCCCTCTGTTCCTAGCTTTTGGGTTTTGTCAGCTTTGCCAATAGGATGTCCTGTATCTATTCATGTGATCCTGTGACTGTTCTCCTTGAAGCAACTGCTAGAAAGAACATGAAAAGGCTGCAAACACACGGATCCATTAAGCCTCTTGCGGTTTATTTCCAGTCGCCATTCGAGAAATTAGGCTCTGACAGCCCTCTCGGCTGTGCCAAAGTGCTCCTGAGAGCCCCGGCTTCCTGTGTGTTTGCCTGCTTCATTTGTTTCTGAGACAAGGTCTCAGGTCGTCTGTTCTGGCCTCAGCTTACTACATAACCAAGGAAGACTTGAACTCTCGATCCTCTTGCCTTTGCCTCTTGAGTTCTGGAATTACAGGCATATGCCATCCCTCCTGGTTTAGATTTTAAACATTTTTTAAATTATTCTGAGCTATATATTTCTCCATATATGAGTACAGGTGCCCACAGAGGCCAGAAGAGGAGGCCAGATGGTCTCCCAAAGCTGGAGTTGTGAACTGCCTGAGCTGGGTGCTAGGAACTGAATTCGGATCTGCTGCGAGAACAGAATTCACACTTACTTGCTAAGCCATCTCTCCAGCTCCTGGCTAAGGTTTTATAATCTTTGAATTATCACCAATTTAATACCCACCCCCAGAACAGTCTTTTCTGTACTTTAATTCATTTTATTACTCTAGATATGAATAAATATAGTAAAAGCTATTAAAAAAAACAGTTTTTGTGTGTTCTCCAGTAAATTGTCTTTCTGTTCTGACATTCTCCTGTGGTATTTCTGCTTAGAATTTATGTGCATTTTATTTGTTAACACTGTTAATCTTCATCATATGTAGTACGTGACTGGGTCACTCTTTGTTGATATTGTTATCATTACTAATGTACATGTGTTTGTTCATTTGTTTCTCTTTTTTTGAGGCAGCATCTTGTACAGCCCACGTCCGTCTCCAGCTCCCTGCACTGTTCGCTCATGCCGGCCTTAGGCAACTCCTTCCTAAGGAGTGTGTATAGGCTTGCACCATCACACCTGGCCTGAGATTTTCAGGTTCACTGCAGAGATTTTCCATGTGTCCTTGGTGCGATGGGGACCCAGTCAACCCCAGAATCCACATCGGCCATGGGACTGTGGATAGACCTACGCTGATGGACCATTAATTACCACCCAGAAGTCCACAGTTGGCGCAAGGCATTCTCCTGCTGAGTGCGTTCTGTGGGTTGCATTGTCCTGTGTCCGTAGTGTGTGTCTCCTTTCCTCCAGCCTCTCGTTGCCAACTGTCTGCATAGCTCTCCTTTTCCTGATGTTACAGCAGGAAGCCCGCTCACATACCCAGTGTTTTCAGAAGCATCTCACCTGCCGCACCCCCAGCTCCCAGCACCAGCACTGGCCCAGCTCAGTGTCTTACTGCTGCTCTGGGAGGTCCTGGGAGGTGGTGGAAAAGCATGGTACTGTACCATGATGTCATAGTGACCAGGTAGCAGTTGAAGGAGAGCATGCCAAGGACAGACCCAGCCACTTTGAACATAGCTTATCAATAGATGCAGGATGTGGTAGGCAGCAGCGTTTGGCAGACTCTCGCTTAGACTGTGGATGAGGTCTTTACAGTGTACAGCAGCAAGGTCTACTCAGGAAGACTGGGCCACATTTTGGGCCTGTGGGAGGACTGAATTCCTGATACAGGTTGGGAAGGAAAAGACACACTATACACTGGCCTGGCGTTCTGGAGACCGTGAAGGGTTTGAGTGGCGATGCTTTCTCCTTGATGGCTGTGAGAGAAGAAGCTGGACCTAGGCTTCCCAGGGAGCTGTCCACTGGGTAGTGTATATGCACTGGATCTTTTTCTGCTCTAGCAGAGAGCAGCTCCTGACTGCACTGAGCCAGTTATAAGGCCGTAAACCAACTCTTGCCTTTGCTCAGGTTTTACCTTAACTATATTTTGCAGAACATCATAGATCTCCAAACCATGATTTAACCAGCGATGCCCAAAACTGTGTGATAAAATATTTTGCAAAAGAAAATGTAAATAATTCACTTATTTTTAAAGTAGAATGACCAGGTGGCGTGGCCACACTGCACACTCAGAGGACAGAGCTCAGGCTCTGGTCTCACCTCCACTGCTTGCTAGCTGTGTGACCTTGGGCAAATCACACAGCCCTATCTGGCCCTCATTTTCATCTTCCCAACAGTGGGGTAATCTCACTCCCCATGTAATAATGTCATGTGCTGTAAAAACATGTGAGGGTTGGGGACACAGCTCAGTGACCTCTGTAAGCTCAAGGACCTGAGTTTATGCGCGGCACCTTAAAGCCAGGGTTCTTGGAGGACTCCCAACAGTGGGAGTGGGGGTGTCTCCTACTCTTTTGCCTGCTCTTGCGACCCTTTTCCTCCTACTGGGTTGCCTCTTCCAGCCTTGATTTGAGGGTATGTACCTGGCCTTATTGTAACTTGTTATGTGTTAGTTGGCTTCTCTGGATGGCCTGCTTTTTTTCTGAAGGGAAACGGAAGAGGAGTGGATTTGGGGGAGAAGGGAGGTGTTGGGGTACTGGAAGAGTGGAGGGAGGGAAAATTGTGGCCAGGATTTAATGTATGAAAGAGGAATTGATTAAAAAACAAAAAGCCAGGCCTGGTTGTAACCTCAGCTCTGGGGAAAGCAGAGACAGGAGGACCCTGGGACCTGAGCAGGCCAGTCGGTGAGCTCCAGGGTCACTGAGAGACCCTGAGAGATGGAGGAAGCCCCGAATTGACTGTTGCACATGTGCGCACACTTTCTCCCCATGGCCACAGGAGGCGGCCGAGCCCGCACCCACATGTCATTACCTGGCGCGTGGGGTTAACATGGGTAGCCATGTGTTCCCTCCTGCAGCCATCGTTTTTCAGAAACAGGAGATATCTAAACCTGTGTAGAAGCCTTATGCTCTCTAGGACTGTGACGGGGAAACTGCCCTTCGCAGGCCCGGGGACCTGCTGTTTCCATTTTATAAAGAAGACCTAGAGGTTCAGAGAGGCTTGGTGACTTGCCTCAGGCCAGTCAGGAAGGGAGCTGAGCTCCAGTCCCATCTGCCGTCCTGACAACTTATACTACCCCAGAGTGCGGTCACGAGATAGAAAAACAAAACCCAAAACCAACCAACCAAGCAAAGAAGTGCTTTTCCATTCAAACCAAAGTATCACGATGCTTGAAGGGTAATGAGATCTGCTCTCTCGTCATTCATTCACAAACGTCTGGGGAGCCGCTTCTGGCCAGGCGTGTTCCATCGTGTCCTGTGTGTTGAAGCTGGGGTGTATGTTACACGCCTCCCTCCCTCCCCTTCCCTTGAGCTGGTGTGGCAGAGGTGAGGTCCTCACACCACCTGCTCTGCTAGCTCCCCCTGTAGCTCGGACGCCAACCTGCGGTTCCCTGACGGCAACGGCCTCCTGCAGATGCCTCGCTGGGATGAGCCGCAACGGGGTTGTGCCCTGGAGCAGATCTGCGGCGTGTTCCGTGTGGACCTGGGCCACATGCGCTCCCTGCGGCTCTTCTTCAGGTAGGAGCCTGTCGCATGTACGTGAATGTGTCCTGGTACATGTGCTGGCATGTACACGCACGTACACACGCATGTGCCCTGTGTGTGGGTACATGTAGCACGTGTTTCTGTCTCGTGTGCAGCAGAGGGTTGCAGCGGGCAGTCTCCTCCCTACCCCACTGTTGTCAGTGTGTCCCACCTGAAGCCGCCCAGCACCCTGTTCGCCCTGGGCAGAGGACAGCCAAGAGAGAGCCCAGCGTGGGGGTGCTGCTGCTGGCACTACAGGCTGCTGGGTTTCAGGGCCGCACTGGTGGCTTGCGTGTTGACACTGCCCTGGCCTTCTAGGAAGAGGGGCCTTCCCTTCCTAAGCCCCAGTTGCTGCCTCCTTAGGCTTGTGCTTTCCCGCAGCAGCCCAGGTCAGCACCCATCAGAAACCCCTGTCGGAATCCCAGGCCCACATTCTAGCCTCTCCCCGAGGTGCTTGGGGTGACAGCCTTGAGGGAGGTTTCAGGAAACCCTCCCTCTCCTGTGCCCTCTTGTGATCCAGCCATGAGGGCAGAGGGAAATGGGTAACCCCCTAAAGGGTCCAGATCTGCACCCCGCTGGCCCTGCCCCTCCTCCAGGACTCCCTGGCAGTTCAGGAACTGTGTGCCAGGGGTCCTGTGTATGCCACTGCTTGGCTTCCTAGGTAGAGGGGGTGCTGAGTTTTGTTGATTGTGAGCCTCACATAAGCAGCCAGACTCCCTTGGGACTGCCTGTTTCCTGCCTGAGGTGGCTGACAATGGGCTCTGATTAAACTCGGAAATCAAAGCCTGCCTTAATGTGCTCACCCCATCCCCCGCCCCGTGGCCCTTCAGTGACGAGGCTTGCACCAGCGGCCAGCTGGTGGTGGCCAGCCGGGAGAGCCAATACAAGATTTTTCACTTCCACCACGGCGGCCTGGACAAGCTCTGCGAGGTGTTCCAGCAGTGGAAATTCTGCACGGAGACACACCTTAGGGACCAGGTAGCCCAGCTGAGCGTGGGGTGGGGTCGCCTGGTTAGGGTGAGGGGCTGGATGCGCCTCTCTGAGGGCACTGGCCAGCACACCTTCCTCCGGGGAGGGGGCCTGGCTCTGGGGACTGTGGCCTTTGGCCGTCTGGGTTTGCAGTGGTTGACAGCCCTGTGCTTGGGGGCTGACATGCATGCCCAGGCCTTTCTGAAAGTCACTTCAAGCACTTGAAGACTCGTGTTTTGACAAGGCTCAATCTGCATACAGAGGTAATGAGAGCCCTTTAATCACCTGTTTAAGGTGCCACCATGCTTAGACCAGGCGCTGACTCTGCCGAGCTGCCCCTCCCGCACAGCCTCCTGCTGGCTCCCCTTATTATGGTAGTGGCATAGGCCCCCCTGCTTTAAGCAACCTTTGATTTCTGAATTAAATGTCAGCTGCGGTTTCGCCTGGGACTCGTGAGTGCTCATGGAGACAATCTGACAGGCTGGCCTCCTGCTCGGGAACAGCGGGCCTTTGTATGTGGCCGATCGAATGGAATCTATTGCAGGCCCTCCCTGGCAGAGGGAAGTTGGGCCATAAGGGGGTATTAATTCTGGTGTTCTTCACCGAGGGGGCAGGAAAGGGAGTGGGGGCTGTGGGCTGCAAAGGGAGAGCAGTTTTAGGGCGAAGGTATTTTCATTTTAATTGTGTGTAATTACACTTGCCGGCTAGGAGTTTTCGAGCAGGAACGGCGCCCTCCCCTCCTCCTGGAGGAGAGGGTGGCTTTGACGTCCTGGGAACGGAGTCTTAGGCTTCAGAAGCCCAGGCTCTGGGATCCTGCTCTCCACCGGGTCCCTCCCGCCCGTCCAGCAGCTCACGGATGAGAGGACGTGTATGCAGTTCTCTATCCGAAGGCCCAAGCTGCCGTCTTCTGAGACCCACCCGGAGGAGAGCCTGTTCCGGAGGCTGGACGTGTCTGCGTGGCTCAGCCACCTGAATGAGCTGGGCCAGGTGGAGGAGGAGTACAAGCTGCGCCAGGTATGGAGGGTGGGGCTCCGCCTCCTGAGGCCGTTCCCGAGTCTGCCCGCAGCATCGAGAGGAGACCTGTCAGGCAGCGAGAGGAGACCCAGAGTTTGGGGGCCCCCTGTGGGCCCTGCACACTCTTGGGTACTGAAACCCCCGGGATTAGTCCCTGACATGAGAACGGCTCGGTTGATCTCAGAGTGCCGCCCGGGGGGGCTTTGACATTGAAATGAGCCAGTTTGTATCCTCTCTGGGAATGCGGCTCCAGCACTTTCCCCTCGCAAACATGTGCAAATGGCCAGGTCTGAATCGAGGCTCGCCAAAGGCCCCACAACACCCTTCTCTGGGGGTTTGGGGTTCTTTGAGCTGCCCTGTTTTATGCTCTTCCCCCCAGGCCATTTTCTTTGGTGGCATTGATGTGTCGATCCGGGGGGAGGTCTGGCCTTTCCTGCTGCACTATTACAGTCACGAGTCCACGTCAGAGGAGCGCGAGGCCCTGAGGGAGCGGAAGCGAAGGGAATACGCAGCCATCCAGCAAAGAAGGTGCGTCGCCCCGGGAGTCACATCAAACCAGGGAAGTCACAGGTCGTCACTGGCCGTGTAGCCCATGGAACGTGGTTTCTTTGGAGCGGCTCCCAGGAGCCGGCAGCGTTGGCAGGAGGAGGGCCGTCCCTACACCGCAGCCCCGGCGCCTTGGTCCGGCCCCTTAGTTCACATGCCAAGTTGTAGAACTTGTGTTTAACAGGCTGAGCTGGGAACCCGGCTTCAGAGGCTGCACCTCCCTCCCACATGGGTTTCAATAGCCACAGGTTGCTGCCGTCAAGCCTCCTCTGAGGGGCAGGACCTAAGTTTAAAGGGAGAGCCTTGAACATACAACCCCCCCCCCCACGCACAGCCACGTACGTACACATATTTGCATTTGAGTGCACACATGTACAGATGCACAAACACACACATGCACGTGTCCTGTTGGGAGCAAGAGGGTTGGCTGCTGGCAGCCCATGCGCGCGCACACGCACGCACGCATGCACGCACGCACGCATGCACGCACGCACGCACGCACGTCCTGTCGGGGCTGGAAGGTTGGCTGCTGGCAGCAGTAGCCGCAGAGGTCAGCGCTTAGCAGAGCACAGGTTTCTGTTCCCGGAGAGTGCGGCCAGCATAGGTCACTGCGGACTGCGTGTTCCCCCTCCCTGGGTACTCCAGCGCATCCCCTCCCAGAGCCGACCTCCAACCTCTGACGGTGCTGTCTGCCCCGCAGGCTTGCCATGACCCCCGAGGAGCACAGAGCCTTCTGGCGCAATGTGCAGTTCACTGTGGACAAAGACGTGGTCCGCACAGATAGGAACAACCAGTTCTTCCGAGGGGAGGGCAACCCCAACGTGGAGAGCATGAGGTACCTTGTCGCCCCGGGTCCCCCGGTGAGACGCTGTCTGCCGCCCTGTCCCATCTGAGGGTACCAGCCAGGCCCCCTCCCCCTCCCCGCCTGGCCCCTGCCCTCTAAGGACAGTGCTTCCCCATCCTACCATGCATCCTCCCATCCCCTCCTGGATGGACCATGAGAACACAGAACACACAGGGCCAGATGCCGCCATCTTTGATATTCTGATGCAGCCTGGCAAATAACTGCACAAAATTAACAGCCCATTGAAACGTCTTCGCCAGCCCACCCGTCATCACAGACAGTGGACCATTAAGGAAGTCAGATCCACATTCCTCCCCAGCCCCTGCTCTGGGCTCTGGGCCTGGCAAATGGCTGTGACCACTTGTAAAGTGGGTTTCACTGGCCAGACTCTTTTAGAGGCAGGGTTTCTCTGTGTAGCCCTGGCTGTCCTGAAGTTTTCTGTGTAGACCAGGCCGGCCTGGTAGACTGGTAGACTGGTAGCCTGGTAGGCTGAGATTAAAGGCACACATACCACATCCCGCCAATCACCCACCCTCTTCAGACAGCGCTGTGGCACCCGCCACTTGGCGCTGCCTTTCCTACCGCCGAGATGGAGGAGGGGCCCGGCGCCTACCCAGCAGGCCCTGATGGTGGACGGGTGGGATGGGTCCAGCCAGCTGTGCTCCCCACTGCCCCACCAGGAGGATCCTGCTGAACTATGCTGTGTACAACCCAGCCATCGGCTACTCGCAGGGCATGTCGGACCTGGTGGCGCCCATCCTGGCGGAGGTCTTGGATGAAGCAGACACCTTCTGGTGCTTTGTGGGTTTGATGCAGAACACCATCTTTGTCAGCTCTCCTCGAGACGAGGACATGGAGAGACAGCTGGTGAGGCGTGAAGCACGTTTGTGTGTGCGTGTCACCGCGCAGGTGTGGGCATGCGTGTATTTGTGCCTGTGTGTATGTGGCTATGTGTGCTTACATCGTGTGTACGCATGTATGTGTGTTTGTGCGTGCCTGTGTGTTGGAGGGCTCAGGGAGGTAGAGCACTGCCTCCTGTTGCTGCCAGGGGTCTTGATGGTGAAATGCAGCCACGACATCAAAGGTCAGTGGACAGCAGAAAACCAGCATCTCTGTTGACAGGACCCGGGCCTTCTGGGAAGGGCCAGCTAGCCACCTACAGGAGCTGTGTGTTTGGGTCTGGGCCAGCCTCTAACCCATTCCTCCTGAAACTACAGAGGCTGACTGTTGAAGGCCCTACCCTGCTGGTCTTCTTCCTCCCTGCAGGGCCATCAATCCAGCCTCCTTGACAGGACAAGGGAAGGGAGGCCCATGGTACCTGCTCAGGTGTGTGTGACTTGCAGAGCCCAGTGCAGATAGCCAGGGCAGTTGCGTGCAGTCAGGGCAGAAGGCCTCTCAGTATTACTCAGATGTCCAACAGGCAGACCTCACACCTCCAACCCCTGAAAAAGCTGGGCTTTCTGTGAGGCTCAGCTGACACTGGCCACAGGTCCTCCCCACAGAGATGAGCTGTACATCAGCCAGGCAGCATGGAGCGGTCGGGGCCTAGATCTTGTCACAGCAAGGTACCTGTGTTCGTGTCAAGCCCTTGCCGAGTTCCAGGTCCTGGATGTGGATGGCCTGGCCTCAGTCCTGCAGACAGCCTGGGCCGGAAGCAGATAAGCTTGAATAGAATGAACATATGGGCAAAGGACACTGGACCTGGGGGACAGGAATGCCAAGCGCCTCTCCCTCCCTTGGCTGTCTCTATTACATACGGGTCTGGCCTCAAGCGTTGGAGACTCAGCTAAAGAGAGGCTTTTGGGTGGTCATGTTCAGTGGTCTCTTGCTGGACGAGGTGTGCCTCATGCAGTGAGGGCAGAGCTGAGGGAGAGTGTGAAGCATGTCTATAGATCAGCCGCCGGGAACAGGGCTGGCCACGGCAAAGGCACACGGGAGAGGCAGCAGGATGGCATTTGTGCGGATTGGACATCCATTAGAGAGCTGTCAGCTACACGGTGGCCTTGACCTTCCTCGGGCCAGAGTGGAGATCCTCACCAGTCAGGAAGGACCCCTGGACTCCAGAACCACACAGCTCCAGGCGCTAGCCTAGGAGAGGTGTGGTCTCGAGCGCCCCACCCCCGCTGTGCTCAGCAGGAGACCGACCCCAACCAGGCCCCTGCCTCATCCTGCATCCCTGTGATGTCAGGTTTCCACGGTACCCAGGGAGGCAATTACAGGGTCTGACGCCATCAACCTGGCGGCTCGTGGCCAGTGACTCATTAGCTGCTGGAGCCTGGTTTTCTCTCGGCGTCAGTGAAGTCCATAGCCCCCACCCTGTGCTGCCAGAAATAGCCTGGTGACCTGACGCACAGAACACCAGGAACACGTACCCTCCCTTAATTAGCTCTGGGCGCCGCTGGACCATGGCGGAATGGAAGGGGCTCACTCTGCCTGGTCAGGCATCCATGAGAAACAGCCCCCAGGGGCCGGCTGAGGCTGGGGGATGACTTCACACTGAGTCAGCGCTCTTGACCACCCCGGAGATCACACTACGCTTGGGGCTATACCCCAGCCTCCTTCTAGAATATCTTTTAAATCTAAGATGAACTGGCTGACGGGTGTGAGCAGGCTTCCAGTGGTGGAGGCCAGGGAGGTGACTCAGACAGCAAAGCGTGAGGTCCCCAGCACCCAGGTTAAACGCTGGGTGTGCGTGCACAAGGAAGCTCAGACAGGTGGATCCCTGGAGCTTGCTGCCCAACCTGTCTAGCTAATCGGCAAACTCTAGGTTCAGGTTCAGGGAGGGACTAGGTCTCAAGGTGGTCGAGCCGGAAAGATGGCTCAGAGGTTAGTATGTGCTGCTCCTGTAGAGGGCCCGGGTTCGATTTCCAGCACCTGCACCAGGCAGCTCACCATTGTCTGAGAGATCTAACGCCTCTGGTCTCCTCGGCCACCTGAAGTGACATGCACAGTCTACATGCGTGATGTAAACACGTATCAGCATAGATGTAATTTAAGAGTAAAATAAGGACTGCAGAGGTGGCTCGGTGGTTAAGAGCACTTGCTGCTCCTGCTCAGGACCTGGACTTGACCTGGATCCCAGCAGCCGTATGGTGGCTCCCAGCCATCTGTAACTCCACTTCCAAAGAATCCAGCCCCTTCTCCTGGCCCCACAAACACCAGGCACCGATTCGGTGCACAGACATCCATGCAGGCAGATCAGTCACACACATAAATCAGCTCCGTTTTTAAAGAATAAAATAAGGCAAACTGCTAGAAGGCACTCTGTGTCCGCCTCTGGCCTACAAACATACACAGAGGGGGAGGGGAGAGAGGAAAAGAGGGAGAGGGAGAGAGGCTGAGAGAGAGTCAGGGGAAGGGAGAGAGAAAGAGGGAGAGAGGAGAAAGAGGGAGAGAGGAGAAAGAGTCAGAGAGAGAGGAAGGGAGAGAAAGGGAGAAGGAGAGACAGAAGACACACAGAAGGTTCCAATGTAAGTTGACCTAGTAGCTGGCTGACGTGTTTGGCGGAGACTTCTCTGTGTGTGCTTTCAGGGTTGAAAGTACTGCCGGTAGCAGCCTCCGTAGCCCTGGTAGGCAGCTTGGCCCTGACAGGCAGGCTTGCCCAGAGCCTGGCTAACGCCCCCTCCGCTCCCTCCCCCAGCTGTACCTGCGGGAGCTGCTCCGTCTGACGCACCAGCGCTTCTACCAGCACCTGGTGTCGCTGGGCGAGGATGGCCTCCAGATGCTCTTCTGCCACCGCTGGCTCCTACTCTGCTTCAAGCGGGAGTTTCCTGAGGCGGAGGCCCTGCGCATCTGGGAGGCCTGCTGGGCCCACTACCAGGTGAGGGGACAAGAGCCACACCTAAGTTAGCATCCTGCACCTAGCCAGTGTGGGAAATAGGGTCCTGGGGTCACTCCAAGCCTCCTCTGGGGGGGGCTGTCTCCTCCTCCTCGCTCCACCCCCCTCCCACAGCCTTCCACAGCCGCTCTTTTCCAGGCAGCTGGGTTCAGACCTCACCTCCCATGTAATTGAAATCAATGTAAATTGATGGCCAACACGATCATTACTGCATTCTGGTCTGAGCTCCCTTTTGTCACGGCCAGTCGGCGGGAGAGACTGCATCAGCACCACGGGGCAGTCAGGAAGCCCAGGATGGATGTGCCCACCTGCTGTGGCCAGTGCTTCCTGCCCTGCCCCCTGGGACTGCTGGGCCACCCTGAGCTCCTGCCTTCACAGGGCTCTCGAGGGAGCCTGGGTCAGTGCAGCTGGCACCCACCTACATTCACAGTGATTAGGGTCTCCTCCATCAGCCCCCCTCTGACCACAGGGCAGCTGCTGCACAGTTTTAACACCCAGGCCACCCGTGTAAGAACGTCGGCAGGTCCTTTTGACTCCGTCAGCCATAATAGCAACAACCACCACACCAAAGGTAGCAGCGATTACTCCATGGGTGAAGTGCCTGCCTTGCAAGCTTCCAGTGGAGTCCCTGAACCGTGTTTTTAAAAAGCCAGGCACGCCAGGCGAGGTGGTGCACACTTTTAACCCTGGCACTGGGGAGGCAGATAGACTTTTTTTTTTTTGTGAGTTCCAGTAAGGTCAGGGCTACACAGTGCCAACCTGTCTTGGAAAAAAAAAACAAAAAAAAAAACAGCAGGAGTGGCACATCCGCTTAGGCCCTGTGCTGGGGAAGCAGACACAGGCAAACCGCCAGGGCTCGCTCGCCAGTCCAGCCTACTTGCTGAGCTCCAGGTCCCTGAGAGCCCCTGGGATACCCCTTCCAGCCTCATATGCACCTACACAAAGCTCCAGGTACACAGTACAGGCAGGCGTGCACAAACAAAAACCGTGCCATCCGTGTGTCCAGGGCACAGCTCCGTCCTCTTCCCCCAGCATTGTCCCTCTGCCACCTGAAACGTCGACCCGGCCGCTTGCCAGCGCATCCCAGACATAAGACTGCTCTAGACAGAACACTCAGAAGTGACCGGGGAGGCTGAGTCATGAGGAAGTCACCCCAGCCGTCTTCTGAGGCATTGGCAGTACCCACTCCTCAGCCCCTGTTGGCTGTCGTCTGGTTCAAAACCCACAAAACAAGTTCATGTTGCCTTCAGATTTGGGGATCAGTGAGCACATCTAGAACCACCCTCCTCCCCTTATCAGCCAGGGATAGGGGGAGCGGAAAGACAGAGGTGGGTAGTGAAGCAGGAGTGAGCACCAGAGTGGAGCCACTGGCAGGTGAGGCCTTCGAAGGGAAAGAGCACACAGTAGCTGCTGCGCACCTGCCCCAGGAGCTGGGATTTGCCCCCTGCGCTGGCTCCATCCCTGTAGACTGTGTCTCGCTCTCCCATCCTTACATTCCTTCGGGAACTGAGAAGATGGCTGGGCAGTCCAGGATGGGGACTTAAGTGCCACTGGCCCTGTCTTTAGGTGGGGAGGTGCAGGTTTCCGAGCCCAGGAACCTGCCTGCCAGCATGGGCCTGAACCAGGAGGGCCTGAACTAGACCCAGGACCGAGTTCTAGCAGGGCCGTCTCTGAGCTCGCTGTCTCTCTGCAGACGGACTACTTCCACCTGTTCATCTGTGTGGCCATTGTGGCCATCTATGGGGACGACGTCATTGAGCAACAACTGGCCACAGACCAGATGCTCCTGCACTTTGGAAACCTGGCCATGCACATGAATGGAGAGCTGGTGCTCAGGAAGGTGGGCACTGCCCGGTCCGGCCTATCAGGCCTGCACATAAGCAGGCCATGTACCGTACAGCCCTGCCCCTGCCCATGAAGCCCTGTCCACACCACAGAACCCTAGCCGGCACATGGGCTCAGCTCCCGTTTTGCAGAGTTCTGCACGTGAGCTCCATCCTGCCCCTCACCTGCCTTGCTGGGCTTTCTCCAAGGGGACTGGCACCCGCTGCAGTGCCATCAGCCCAGTGATGCTATTGTGTCCCTGCTTTGTCCTCATGGACCTCAGGGGCCGCCACCTGACAGCCTCTTTCAGCTGCTACGATGCATGAGTGTCCGGCCAGTCCCCCTGCCCAGGAGTGCCTCCTTCTAGTCCACAGCTAGGGAAGTGAGGAAGAGGAGGCAGAGCCTGGGGAGGATGTGGCTTCTTGGGAGGAAAGGTGACCTTGACTCAGCCACCCCCGATTCCCACTTCAGCTGGTGGTGTTTGGAGTTCGGGCTTCAGGCCCATCGCTGCACTGCACGGGGCTGCGGGTAACAGGCAGGGGCAGGGGGCGCTGGGACTGGGTTAGAGAGGCCCTGCAAAGGGGCAGGAAGGGCAGTGTGGGGCAGTGCCGTTCTGCTTTTCTTCATCCTCCCCAATGCCGGTTGGGAATTTGTGACCTAAACTGCCCAAGTATCTCATGGTCCCTTTTTAGCAGCCAGTGGATGCCCAGGCCACTGTGCTGTCCCCACATAGTAAGCCCATGGGCGTGGCCCCTGCTGCCGTACTCCTCACTCTTCTCGTGTCCTGATGGCCTTGCTGTCCTCTTAGCCTGTCCTCTTTCTGCAGGCCAGGAGTCTCCTGTACCAGTTCCACCTTCTGCCCCGGATCCCCTGCAGCCTGCATGACCTGTGCAAGCTGTGTGGGACAGGCATGTGGGACAGCGGGTACATGCCAGCTGTGGAGTGTGCCGGCCACCACCCGGGCTCAGAGAGCTGTCCCTACGGGGGCACAGTGGACATGCCGCCACCCAAGCCCCCAAGAGAAGGCAAGAAGACCCCAAAGGCAGCGAGGGAGGCATTTGGTTTCCGCAGATAGGAAAGCCCTTGCCCCTGACCAGGGCTGAGGGGACCTCCTTGAGGGCCTGGGTAAGTGGGAGGGGGTGGGGATGGACATGGAGGGAACACAAGGAAATGCCTCTGGCCAATGTGAAGAGAACCTTGTCATGGTGACAGAATCAGACTCTAGAAGCGACAGCACGTATCAGCTGTCCCAAGAACCCAGCTCCTGAGAGGCTGGCCCAGGATGTCCAGCTACGCCGCTGGAATGCAGGCTGGTTGGGTATTCCAGCAGAGGCCAGGAGCCTCCGCAAGCTGTGGGCAAAGCAGGGTCTAGAAAAGGCCTCACCCTTACACCAGCACCAGGGACTCGGAGGAGCAGGGCTGTCATCTGAGCGAGTCAAGCCCACTACTGAAGCTTCTTGGCCACAGCTGCAAGACTGGTCTGAAAAAAAGAAAGGGGAGGGAGGGCACAGAGAGACAGAGAGAGCACAAGGAAAGAAAAGCTTGAGAGAGACCTGGGCCTCCCATGGTGTCCATGTGAGTGTTCTGTGCCCTGCCATGGGAAGGACACGCTACCCTGAGCCCAAGGCACAGGCTGGTGGACAAGGGTCAGATGTCCCCCCACTGGGGTCCTCCTCTGAGGATCTGAGGTTTGTCCCCTCTTCAACACACTGGGGCCGGAAAGGGTTGATGGGCGTGGTGTGTACAACCATGAGGTCCTCTGAAGAGAAATTTGTGGTCCTGGGGAAGGGGAAGTGTGTAACTCCCAGCCAAGAAAGACATCTGATGGCTGGGAGGTGCCTCTGCCTCCATGCAGGACCTAGGGAGCTTCTGTCCTTGGCATCTCTGCCGGCCGAGCGCCACTGGGACACTGAATGTTAAAAAGGAAAAGGTGACCCTCGTCCTCCAAAGCTAAGGATTGTGCTTGGATAAAGGTGTGTTCCAGAACATTCCTAGCCAGTGAACCGAAAGCTGGTGCAAGCAAGGAGCCTGATTCCTTCCTCAGGCGCTGACTCCTCGTGGGGAATGCAGCCTCAGGGTAGGTGGAGGTGCCCGCTGTCATTGGCTTCTCTCCCTGAGAGTGGCGCTGCAGGACGGTGCCGAGTTTAAAAGGTGCTTATCAGAACAAGAGAGGGCCGGGGCTCTTACAGTCTCCCTTCTCAGCTCTCCCATTCTCCTGTGAGCCTGTCCCCACTCTGCAGGCACTCCTGAGGATATGGGGCCATCTAGGAAGAGCCTTTGGGGAGGAGGGGGTTTCCCTGACCTTGGGGGTACTGTCCATTATGAGGAATGGGCTCACCCTCCCCCGACTTGCTTTCTGTACTGGCTTTTGACTTTCTGGAAGCTGGGGCCACAAGCAGGCATACCCACTGTCTGTCACCACAGTAGCAGAATATAGGGCACACACAGAGCCTCAGAGGCCTAGAACCGTGTGCTGTGACCTGTGCCGAGCGTGTGGGATCAGCAGTGAGGCTGGGTGGTTCTGGTCTTAGGCAGTCTTGCTCATTCGTTTCTGGGCCACCATCTCTGGATCGCCATGGGCACATGAAGTGTATAGGTGTGAGGCAACACTGGCTTCTGGGTCTTAGGTCACCCCATGGTGGTAGAGGTGGAAACGAGCAGTGTTTTCTCTAAGTGTTGGTGGGTGCCGCACATGCTAACCACCTCTCCGGGCAAAGCAGGTTGAATGGGTGAAGCCAGCATCCAGCAGTGGAAAGCGAACCCTCGTCTCGGGGTTTTCTCTCAGTAGTCAGGTAACTCAGAGGGGTCCCAGCCGCCTCCCGCCTCAGGAAATCTAGATGCAGGCCACTCCTTTCCCAGGATCTTGCTCCCGTGCTGCACCCCAACTCCTACACCTTCGCTCTGCTGACTCTGATTCTGAGGGTCCAGCTCCCACAGTGCCCAGCCCCTGCTCCTCAGCTGACCCAGACTGTCCCGTGACAGCCTTGGACCAGGCTCCTCCCCCCCAGTGCCCTGGATTACCGGACCCTGGTGTTACCTGCAGCATCAGGCTAGCTGGGGCCTCTGCAGCCAGACATGGTGTGTGGGCCCTCAGAGCCCTGCTCTGCTCTGAGGCCCAGCACAGAACAACAGCCTTAATCTGGATGCAATTAGAGGAAACCAGCCAGATACCCGGTGGCAGCTGTTAGCCCAGGATTATTCCCAGCCAGCAAAAGGCATTAGGGTGATAATTCAGTCATTAGACTTCTAGCCTTCCCACCGCCAAGACATACAAATCACGGGTAATCAGCCCGCACACCATCCCCTGGCCACGAGGCTTATTTAACCCATTTTTTAAAATGACGCTTAATGCTATTGGCCAGCACGCCTGTGTGCGCATGCCCCACTGCTAATGTCTGTGCTGACGACCGGCATTGCCTGATATCATCGAGGCTCTGGAAAGGAAGGACACCTTTGATATGTGTGTATGTGTGTGTGTGTGTGTGTGTGTGTGTGTGTGTGCTGGCAGGGGTGAGGCTTGAAGCCTGCGTGGAAAGGGCACTCAGTTCTGACTCATTCGCCCAGAAGAGGGGACAGTGTGTGGGGAGGGGCGGGCAGCAAGGGGAGAGGGCCGGGTTGCAGTGTGTTCCTGCCTCAGGGCCAGAGACTGCCCTCACTGAGAAGAGAGAAGACAGTGCTTTACCAGACACTTCCACCTCAGGTGCCGTAGTCCTAGCCCATCTCTGCTGAGGAGGACTTCGACCCTCTTCGGAGCCTTGGTCTGGGCAGTCTGCGGAAGGAGATCCTGACCAGTCCAACCCTGATCGGGTGGGGTGGGGGGACGTACTATGTTCAGGAAGGGACGGTTTGGGTGTCGAGTTTTGAGCTTTTGCTAAAAGTGGTGGGAAGCCCTTGCCAGACAGGACACTGGTCCCAAGGAGGGTCTCCTGGAGCTGGTGCCTTTGATGGCCCTGTACATGGAGGGGGATAGAATAAAGGGCTGGGGAGAGGACTGTAGGCTGGGTCAGGGGTCAGTGACACCGAAAGGTGTCTCCCTCTCCTCCTGCATTTGCCTTTTGCTGTTTTGCTGAACCAAGGGGCAGGATGTGGACTTGGGGCCTGCTGCCCCACGAAGTGACACACCCAACCCCCACAGTGCCAGGAGTCCACCTGCAGCCTCCCCTGGAGGCTCCCTTCCACTGTGGGCAGGCCGGGGGTGCCGGGAATACCCTGGGCTGGCCACACAGAGGGAGGGAGCCTGGCAGAGGTCCCCGGAGGCCACCCTGCCCACAAGGGAGGTGGAAAGCTTTGCAGGGTTAGAGGTGGGCCAGAGCTGCCACCCAGCTGGGCCTCCAGGGAGGACCGGGAGACTCTCCAGCCTGAGGCTGGACCTGCCAGATCCCTAGAGTCCCTGAAGAGCCAAGCAGCTACTGGATATCAGTCTTGTGTTTCTGTGGAGATTGTGGTGCATTTTGTTCTGGGCTAACCTGGCCTAGAGGGATCTCCCCAAGTCTTAAGAAGCCAGTTTACCCCAGAGCTTCCCCAGTGAGGGGTCCCCTCAGCCCGTTTCCTCTTCTGTAAAAGGAGCAAGACTCTCCAACAGGCTCCTTTAAAAGACTGCTCTGGAGACGTCCATTTAAAGCTGCTATGAGGGTGGCTGACCATGGCCCAGGGACCTCACCTGCCACTCAGGGAAGAGCCCGCTGGCCTTAGCCTTCCGAGGCAGTGACCCTCCGGAGAGGGGCTGTCCACTCCCAGTTGAAAGCTCTCCCTGGTGTGGAGTCAACAAAGTCCCCTCTCATATCCACCCTGCTGCAGGTCGCACACTCTCAGTAATGCTCACTCTATGTCACCCACGCCTACCCTGAAGAAAAATGAGCCACAAGGCCACCTCGGCTGCGGTCTCGGCCTGCGCCTGTCTGCACACGCGCAAAGCTCTGCTGTGGATGGCATCGCCCCTCTCGGGGGAGATCCTTTCACGAGGACTCAGACTTCCTAAGTAGCTGCATGCAGATCCTGCCACCACCAGGCCTTTAAATACACCCTGTTCAGTTCCAGGTGGGAAGGCGGCACCTCGGGTGCGCAGAGGTCAAGTCACATGACAGTTTTTCGTCCACACTTTGAGGATAAGGAAGACGCCTTTTCGTGTGTTTGGTTTTGTTTTTAAAGTAATGAAGTATGCCCACTGCTGATGTCTAATAGGAAGTGAGTAGTTTCTCTGTTGTGTTTTGTTTTTTTAAGCAGTCCCCTTCCGGTCAAGGTCAGGACTGGTCACCATGACCCCTGTTAATCATGACTCTCATTGATTCCACACAAAACAAATAAAATAGTATTGCCACACACATGGTCCTGAGCCTTGAGAGAAAGCCTGGAGAGAGTGGCCAGGTCGGGGTTGGGCAGAGAGGCTCCGTGGAAGAGCTGTGAGGGCCTTCAGAAGCCACCAGCCTGCCCAGCTCCTTGGCTGCTCTGAGAGTAGTGGGGAGGGGATCTGGTAAGGCCTGAGGTGCAGAACCAGAAGGGCAAGAGCGTGGCTGTCATGCTGGGCCTGGCAGTGGAGAAAAGAGGCTCAGCGAACTCAGGAGTGCTTACTGGGCACACAGAGTCCAGGCTACCCAATGTCTGGAAACCCTAACAGCATCTGACGGAGCTGTAGCTGCCCTGCTCTGCCTGAGCAAGCCTGTGTGACCTTGCTTTCCAAGACAAATAGTGTATTGAAACTTGGTGGGTGTGGGCTGGGTGTTAAAAGGGAGTTCAGGCAGCATCACTGAGCCCTACTGTTTAACCAGCTCTGGGAGCTAGTCACAGGGACATGGACTCTAGGGCTGATGAGAAGGTACACAAGAGTCTAGGCCCTGCAAAAGCTTTGGGACCGTTGAGCTGCTTGAACGTGGCTTGTGTATATACTGGTGTGCCCCTGCAGGGGCTGGAGGAGCCAGAGGGTGGGTGGACTTGGTATGTGTGCCTCCGGGGGTTGCCATGGCAAGGCTCTGTCCACCTACCTATCTGTCCTTGTTTGGACATAGGCATGCCTGGTGCACCCTGGTGAGGATTGGAAGGTGCCAGCCAAGCCTGGAATACTAGCTCATGAGGGTGCTGAGCCTAGTTCCCTATAGAGAAAATTCCATCCACTTGGAAGCAGGAGGGCTGCTGGCCCAGCCTGCCTGGAAGCTAAGCTCTAGCTGTCAGTGCACTGAGTGTGAGATGCGGGACATGACCAGTGGCCAAAGGGACAGGAGAAGCCAGGCAGGTGCACATGGCCTCGGCAGCTCTGCAGCCTGTGACACTGCAGCAGGGGCATGGAGGGAAGGACGGTCATTGGCCAGCCGTCACAGGTGCTGAGGGTCCTTGATGACCCCATTGTGAGCCCCAGACTGGACACTCACAGCCCACTGAAATAAGGTAGAATTATGTGGAATTCCTTAGGCCTGCAACACATGGTAAGACCTTCAAGTGGACAAGGCCACCCACACTTCTGTGCCTGCAGCTAGGCAAACCTTGAACTCCCCACTGCTTCAGCACCTCCCCACTCCCACCAGCCCTGAGCAGCAATGTTCATCACCTGCCTCCCTTTACCCCAGCCAAAGCCTGTCTCTGCCCCATCACTCCAGAGCAGTCCTGATTGTAAGGGCCCTCCTCCATTGCTTGACAAGCTAGGAGTCCAGAAAAGGTGGGTTATTCACTCCCAAAGCATGCCCTGGGCTCCACACTGAGCCCTCCTTGTCACCAGATCACTCTTTTTCAAGGCCAGGCTCTGTCTGTGCGTTGTCTGGGCTCTTGTGCTCAAGCAGCACCACACCTGTGTCCAACGTGTAGGGTAAGGGCATCTCAGCAGACTCCCCGTAATGAGGAGACCCGGGCCAGCCGCTTCTGCAGTTACCAGGGCAGCTGCCTGCTGCCCTACCCTTCTGAAGGCCCGGGCTGGATGCCACTCACCCTCCGAGGACCAGAGGACACCTGCCACTGGCCAGGTGGGTGATTTTAGCACTTAGGGACAGATGCCTGCCCACCTTTCCAGACCCTCGTCCTCCTCCCTCTACGGCTATCTGGCTCCTGTGTGTGTGAGGCGGGGGCTGGGATGATTTAAACAGGGTGGAAAAGCTGCTTCATCTTCAAGTAGGAAATTGGCCTGTGGCCAGGTTCTACTGGTCCTTTGACCTCAGACAGAGGGAGACGTGTCACATTTCCAAGGATGACAGAGTCTTCTGAGCTCATGATGCCTCGAGGAGGCTCCAGTGAGGACACAGAGTCCTCAGCTGGGCACAGCACCTGGCTCTAGCCACCCACTGTCTACCACAGAGTGGGAGTGCCCGCTGAACTGAGACACATTTGGGAGAAAGATCGCTTATCTCTGGCCATAAGCACCCATGCACAGACGCAATAGGAAAAGCCATCAAGGCCAGGGGTCTCTCGGCTGAAAGGCGATGGGAACAGTATGGCACAACAGTGGGCGTGGCCAAGGGCCAGGGCGGGGTAGAGCAAGAGGCCAGGACTTCGGTGGTTCGGTTAAGATCTGTGGCCAGCATGTGAACACCAGCTGCGGGCACAAGCAGAAGATGAGAGCAACACACAGCTAACAGAAGAGGCAGCAGAAGGCGAAGGGCAGGGCTGTTTAAAAGGAGGCTGTGTGGGCGTCAAGGCTGCGAAGTGCTCGAGGAGGGAGCACCCAGCAGTGTATTTCCCACACTTCTTTTGGGAAGTCCTGGACAAGGACACTAGTGGCTTCGGGAGGCGCTGCCAAGAGAACATGCAGGTTGTCCTATCCCAGGACATTCTGTCCATCCCTCTCCCCCCAGGGGCTCTAAGTGCTGTGTGTGTGGCTCGGCCAGGCCCAGGAGCAGTTGCTGCCAGTGAAGGCTCCACTCACCAGGCCATGAGGACCACCCATGTGTAGGATGCTAGGTGAGGGCATTCTGGCTTCTGACCTCAAAAGGGAGGTGTGCTTCCCTGTGGCTGTGTCCCCCTCCATGGGAGGGAACCCAGCTTGTTTGGAAAACAGTAAACTCTGGTGGGAGCCCACGAGTGGCTTCCTCAAGGTGGTCAGGGAAGGAAGGAGAGGCCTGCATGATTACCCCAGGCTGAGTCCCTCTCTCCCGTCCACCTCCTGCCACCATTTCGGGATGCAGCAACAGGTGCCAAGCCCATAGAGCACCTGGCTGGGTCCCTCCCCACAGAAGCTTGGGCACTCAGTCTCCCGAAGCTCACACCCTCGTGGGTTCCTGGGAAGTATCCAACCAAAGCGTTCATTTAGATGGAGCCTTCCCCCATCCTTGGGTCTTTCTGTTCGGCTGGCCACAGGACTGCCTGCCTTAGGCAGACAAGCGTAAATGAAATCACGGGGTGCTTGGTGTCCCTGGAAGTATCTGGGCGGGCCTGTATGCTTACAGATGAGCTCTGTCAGTTCCACCTGGGACAGGGTCAGGTGGCTGGGACACAGTGTCTGCAGGTGTGCCCAGGGAGGCTAGAAGTGGAGGTTCTGCTTCCTGCCTGGGCTTCCCCTTCCTCTCCTTTCATGGTGGCCATCATGTCTCCACTCCCCAGGATGCTGCAGGCTAAGCAAAAAGACCACAGCCGTCCCCTCCAGCCTGAGGAAGAGCCTAGTTGCTGGGCACCCTAAAGAGCCCTGAGATTCAACTGGGGCTCGCCGAACCAGCCAGGCTCTGGGCTGTCTGTCCTGAGAGATCTTAGTGTTTTTAGAGGTGTATGGGGAGCCCTGGGTGCCCCAACCCCATAGTCCCTGAGTTCCATACAGCTCATTCCACTGGGGAAGCTAGGCAGGTGCCCCATAATGCCAGGCAGAGACTCACTTGTGCCTCCAGTCTGTAGATGGGCTGCACCAGTCTCCCTGCCCCCTCTCAGCTCCTGCTTACTTGAAAGATGCCAGCCACGCTTCTGCACAAGACACACAGAATGGTGGGATTCAAACCCGCAAGTCCTAGGCTTCTCGCTAGCCCTGGCTTCTGGGGAGGGCCAGGCAGAACGCTACCTGGGCCAAGGGTAGAGGACCAGACAGTACTTGTGCACAGTGAGACACAGCATCTTCCTGAGGACTCCTTGGGGCTTATCCAGCCTTCCACAGAAGAGACTGCCTGCTCCTGCCATCCCACGCTCCGCTCGGCAGAGACCCGTGTGGCGGCTTCCAATTTCATACCCAGTGCGCTGATCCTGCTGTGCCACAGAGCTGCTGTGCGCAAGATGCCTACAAAGCAAGGAGTAAGGGCCGTGGGGGTGGGGAGGATGTGCAGGCCAGGAGAGGGACTGTGGGACTCCTGAGTTGGGAGCCTGGGGAGGGAACTCAGCTGAGGGAGCGCAAGAGGGGGGAAGCTGAGGAGGACCCAGTCTAATCATAACAGGCGTTCTCTAGGTAAGTGTTAATAACCTATGACGCCGGGAATGGGGGAGACTAATTACAAGGACGCCGTGCCGGCTCGTAGGAGTGCAAGGAAAAGCACACTGCCCTGGAAGCCCAAGGCCCTCATGGACCACTCTCTCTAGGTGGAAGCCAGGCCTCTGATCCCAGACCCTCTGAACCTACCTATCCCTGTTCCTCCCCACTCCTAAGTGGCACCCCAGGAGCCAGCTGCAGCCAGGACACCTTGCCCTCAGAGGACCTTCTTTCTCTGTCCTTATGGGGAGCTGACATACCCATGGTGCCTCTATTTCTGTAGTCATAGGAAAGAGACCTTCTAGGCCTCAAAGAGTGCCAGGTGTCAGGAGGTGCCATCGCCTGTCCCGGGTGGGTTGAGCAGTGGGGCACAGAACTGCTGAGTGACACCAGCAAACTTGACCTCTTCCTGCCCCTGAGGCAAGTCAGCACATGTGCTGTGGGGCTGCGGGTAGCCATCCTGAGCACATGGACCCTAGACAGTTGTCAGTCCACAGGGTCTCTTCTCAGAGCGGGAAGCACAAACTTCCTTAGAATTAGAACTAGGGGCACTCTTGAGACGCAGGATTATTCTCTGGCCAAGAGCACAGGATGCGATGGGGACGAGAAGCCTTGGGGAAACAAGCCAGCCTCCCTAGCCTAGGCTGCCTCTGGCTCAGCCTTCGCCTGGGCCCTTGGTGGGCCCCTCCTTTTAGGCGGATGAGTAGCTCCCCGAAGATGCCCGCCCCTGTCTCCTCATGCCAAGTACTCCACAGGGCGACTGCGGCGGAGGGCCTGCCATTGAACACACCTTAAAAAGCCTTGGGAAAAATCACCAAGTACTTCAAGGAGGTGGTGATAGGGCCAACTGCCATTGACTGTGCTCCTCACCCCAGCGCCAGGAGTGATGAGCAGGGAGGACACTGAGTTCACAGGATGGCCTTGGGGACCACACCTGCCCTCTCTGGGTCTC